CTCACCATAGCACATACCCTCCCCAGTGTCCCTCATCCAGCCACCCCATCCCTCCCACGCCCCTCCACTCCAGCAACCCTCAGTTTGTTTCCTGAGATTAAGAGTCTCTTACGGTTTGTCTCCCTCTCTGGTTTCATCTTGTTTGATTTTTCCCTCCCTTCCCCTATGATCCTCTGTCTTGTTTCTCAGATTCCTCATAGCAGTGGGATCATATGATACTTGTCTCTCTCTGATTGACTTATTTCGCTTAGCACAATACCCTCTAGTTCCATCCATGTCATTGCAAATGGCAAGATTTCATTTTTTGATGGCTGCATAATATTCCATTGTATATATATACCACATCTTCTTTATCCATTCATCTGTTGGTGGACATCTAGGCTCTTTCCATAGTTTGGCTATTGTGGACATTGCTGCTATAAACATCGGGGTGCACATGCCCCTTCAGATCACTACTTTTGTATCTTTGGGGTAAATACCCAGTAGTGCAATTGCTGGGTTGTAGGGTAGCTCTGTTTTCAACTTTTTGAGGAACCTCCATACTGTTTTCCAGAGTGGCTGTACCAGCTTGCATCCCACCAACAGTGAAGGAGGGTTGCCCTTTCTCCGCATCCACGCCAACATCTGTCGTTTCCTGACTTGTTAATGTTAGCCATTCTGACTGGTGTGAGGTGGTATCTCATTGAGGTTTTGATTTGGATTTCCCTGATGCTGCGTGATGTTGAGCACTTTTTCATGTGTCTTTTGGCCATTTGGATGTCTTCTTTGCAGAAATGTCTGTTCACGTCTTCCGTCCATTTCTTGATTGGATTATTTGTTCTTTGGGTGTTGAGTTTGATAAGTTCTTTATAGATTTTAGATACTAGCCCTTTATCTGATATGTCATGTGCAAATATCTTCTCCCATTCTGTCTGTTGTCTTTTGGTTTTGTTGACTGTTTCCTTTGCTGTGCAGAAGCTTTTTATCTTGATGAAGTCCTAGTAGTTTATTTTAGCCCTGGTTCCCTTGTCTTTGGCGATGTTTCTAGGAAGAAGTTGCTGTGGCTGAGGTCGAAGAGGTTGCTGCCTGTGTTCTTCTCAAGGATTTTGATGGATTCCTGTCTCACATTTAGGTCTTTCATCCATTTTGAGTCTATTTTTGTGTGTGGTGTAAGGAAATGGTCCAGTTTCATTCTTCTGCATGTGGCTGTCCAATTTTCCCAAAACCGTTTGTTGAAGAGACTGTCTTTTTTCCATTGAACATTCCTTCCTGCTTTGTCAAGATTAGTTGATCATAGAGTTGAGGGTCCATTTCTGGGCTCTCTATTTTGTTCCACTGATCTATGTGTCTGTTTTTGTGCCAGTACCATACTGTCTTGATGATTATAGCTTTGTAAGAGAGCTTGAAGTCTGGAACTGTGATACTGCCAGCTTTGGTTTAATTATTTTTATGGAGCCCAATGCAGGGCTTGAACTCATGACCCTGAGATCAAGATCTGAGCTGACATCAAGAGTTGGACGCTTAACCAGCTGAGCCACCTAGGTGCCCCGAAACTTGTATTTCTTAATCTCACCTTATGGTCTTTCAGTGACAAACCTGTTTTTATAAAGTAAAGAGTGAAAAGCTTAAGTGTCCAATGAAGCAAAATGCCCAGTTCTTATATCTTCTATCATAATATCATTCGGCCTCTTATACAGGCCCAGCTCCCTCAGGAAAATTAATTTAGGGTTGCATTTGTTTACACTCTATATTCTTAGTAACTGTTGGGTTATTTAGTTATTCTGAAAGATTATTAAAAATAAGGGGTGGGGGGACCTTTTCTGACAACACTGGTGATGAGGTCCAATAATTTAAACTCCCAGAAAATTCACTTGCCTTTAGTGGCCATTCTATGGCCGTTCCATAGCAGGTTCTAGGAAAGCACAGACATCAGTGTGAGGCCTAGACTCAGTATTGCCGGGCAGTTAGAGTTTCCATGTATATAAGCCAGTAGATGATGCACTTGTTGGAATAGATGATCTGCTGATGGACCAGCCAGTCTGAAGAAACAGATGAGTCCAGGATGACTTGTGTGTGTCTCGGTATTAAAATGGGTAGCAGTGTGCCTTGCAAAGAAGAGAGGAGAGAGCATTTTGCTGAGACAAGATACCTAGTGATCCCAGGGAATGATGAAAAATTTATGTATATGGAGCTTGGAATGGGGGCTACAATTATATCTGAGAGTAGAGGTTAGCTTGGAGCCAGCTTGTGAAAGACCTGAAGTACCATACCGAGGAATTTTCCAAGCTTATGGAAAGGTTTTTCTAGAAGGGATTATGTGGCAAATTGATTAGGAAGATAAAAAAAAAACTAACCGGTAGAAGATGGCCTGTGTATTGTATCAGTTGGTCAAATTACAATTCAGCTTATTTTATATATTATCTCATTTAAATTCTCAAAAATGACATTGCATACTAGATGAGATTTTTCACATTTCACACAGAAGAAACAAAGGCGTAAAGCATGTTGTCAAGTTGTCTAGTCACCCAGTAGTGAACATTAAGCACAGGTTATCTGAGGTGAGTGCTCTTCCTACTTACCAGCTATTCCAGGGGTGGTTGACAATGGCACGTTAAATCTTGGACAGCCAAGACCGCATCTGGATCTGTCCCAGGGCATGGAGACCAGCTGTTTCTCCCAGGACGCTACTCCCTGCATGTGTGAATTGCCCGCCCTGTCCCTACTCTCTTGCCGGTCTGTGGTTGAAATTCTTCCATGGCCCTCAATAGGCTAGGAGGGAATAGACGTTTGGCCAGCTGGTATATCCAAATATTCCCCAAACCTGTCTTTCTTAGGGAGGCAAATATAAGTGAATAGAAAGGAAGGGTTCACTCTGCCATATTCTTACTTGTCTTTGCTTCTGTGGAGCACCCAGCCAGCATGCACCCATCATCTCTCTGTCAGAGCCTGTGAGGAGGTAGCTACAGCAAAGTGGAAGCTGTGTGATGTGTGGGGAAAGGGCAGCACCAGCTCCATAACAAGGCACCTGGATGCTGGCTTTTACTCTTGTCTCTTACTTGAGGAACCCCAGCATATCTCACAACCTCCCTGGGGCTCAGTCTTTCCATCCACATGATGGGCCAAGTAAGGAGGGCTATGAACTACACAAGGTCTATTATCTTCTCTTTCTCCACCACAGAAAAGAGTTCACAGTGTATGCAAGTGAAGAGAATAATGTAACTACTTGCCTGTCAGTTGGGGGCTTCTGATTTTGTTGTATGCCATGAGTCCTTGGAGGTAGCAATCTGGCCACAAAGCATACTTGAAGTTGCATTTGCAAAGCACACACTTAGTTAAAATTCAGTGGAAATAGTACTTCCTAAAGTTACCTTTTACCCATATGAACATGGGATGAAGAAAATGTCAGCCATCTGCATTATACAACATGAATTCTGTGTAGAGTGACTTGGAGGGAGCTGGTGGGAAATGGGAGGTTGGGAGGGGTTGGCCTCCTAGTACGGTCACTGATGCCATGTTTTGATGCCTGTGGTACTTTTCAGAATAATCAGAGACACACGGTAACTGATTTTAAGAAGTAATAGTAAAGATAAGACTTTGCCCTAGGACTCTATCTGTTTTTATTTTATTTATTTCTTTAAATTAACACAACGCCCTTTTAAGGCTATAGTAAAAATGTGTTTGAGTAGTTGACATGAGGCTAAATCTAGGATCCAAAGCAGCACAAATCAGTGGGGCCTGAAAAGGCCCAACATGGCTGACCGATATGTGGTACCTCCGTCAAGATGGGTCATGTTTAGACTTGAGGCCAGGTAAGCTTAATATTTTTAATAATAGAAAAATATGATTCCTGCATGCCTAACAAAATGACTCTCACATATCAGAATTCAATAAATACTTGGTAAGTGAACAAGTGAATATGACATTATTATAGAAAATTTGGAAAGTTGAGAACAAAATTGCTCATAGTCCCAACATGTTAACGTTAATAGTCACTAATTAATTTGTGTGTGTGTGTGTTTATTTGTGTTCAGCCATACACACAGGGTTAGTTTGGATTTTAATATAAGCACGACGTAGACAGTTTTATGATTTCTGATGCCTAAAATTTAACATTTTATGATACGCACTTTCCAAATTGCTATACTGTTTTTATAATTCTAATTTTAATGATGGCATAATGTTCTATCTAGTAATTTATCGTAAGTTAGTTACCATTTGTTTTATATCAGGCAATTAGATTGCTTTTGAGGTTTTATTTTATAGTCTTATTCCAGTTAAAATCTTCATGCCAATACTGTTTTCTTCTTTTTAATTATTTCCTTATAGTAAATTATCAAAACTGGTAATTGTGGTTGTAGAAATGATTCCTCCTTTTTTCACTGTAACCAGGACTCTGTTTGAATGCTAGTTTCATCATATCACCGCCTACTTTTGCATATTAGATTAAAAAAATCTGTATTTACTAGTTTAATAGCGCATATGGTTCCTCATATTGTTTCCTCACAGAAGAAAAGCTAATATTACAAAAGCCTATTCACTGGTTAAAGTTGTATGTTAACATTTCACTTTGGTTCTCTCTGCCTCACTAGTACCTTGTTAAATGTGGCGTCTCTGATAATGTGGGGCTGGCTTGTCTCACTGTTGTTCAATCCCTTTTTGTGTCGAAGCTCTCTGTGGAAGCACGTAAAGAGATGACTAAGAAGGCTATTCAGACAGTCAAACATTTTACTGAGAAGCTGCGGAAAAGAAATTTGGAAGACGACATTCAGGAAGCTAGTGACTCTAAAATGACCTATGCAGATGCCCTGAATCATCTGGAGAAATCACTTGCTCACCTGGAAACCCTCAACCACAGCTTCCTTGTTTCTCTGAAGAATAGTGAGCAGGTAATGAAGTGAAAACTTGTTCCCCATGCCCGCTCACTCAGATGACATCAATACACGCTTTCATTTCTCCTCTCAAGCCGTGTTAGTGGTTTTGCTAGGGTTTTCAGTCTTGCAGATGTCTTTAAAAATGGTCCTCAACCTTTTACCCTTTAGCTTCTTCATTACATCCTGATTGTCGATTTGGTTTTCATTTCTTTGAAAAGGATTTGAGGCCACTTATCAGGATTAATCTCTGGCAGGGAGGAGGTGGGAAGGATGGGGGGAAAGAACCCTGAGTTAAACCCAGGTTGGGTGCCTGGGGGAGGGAGTGGTCATTGAAGCTGAGAAGTGATCAGGACAGTGGTTTGCAAGTTCGACAAGCTGGTAGGTGTTTTGCTGTCTCAACCGAAAAATGATTAAGATTTTTTTCTCCCTCATTTTCAGAAAAATTCAGAAAGAGCCATCTGTACCTGCTTCAACAGGTTTTTTTTCCCCAGTTATATGCACTTGTCCTATTTTTTTATATTTTGTGTTCCCAATATCATTTTATTATTGATATGAATTATTTTGGCTAGTAAAATTGTTCCTACTTGGTTTCCAGTTGAGACTCTCGTGGTGTCTCAGAAAATACTCTCACGAGAGTCCAGAGCCGCTGCCCATGAGGAAACGTGAGGCCCAGTGTGTTAGGACAGCTCGGGGAAACCCTCTGTAGCTTTTGTAGTTTTTCTTCTGTATCGTTCCAGCCCAGAGAGTTTTAGCTATTCTTTTCCATAACTGAGAAGTTGACAGATCAATCAGTAAATGGTTTCATATAGGTGAAAACAGTATTTAGAAGTCTAAGTAATTTTGCATTTGCCCCTTTAATGTTGATGGTAAATGAAGCTCTAAGTGGCCACTAATCTTCTCTTTTATTTTTCTCACAGCGTACATGTTGATTGAATTGTATTCTTGGCTTGTAGAGAGCTCTTCCTGATAGAAAGATGGGTCAGTGGAGAGCAGTTCAGATAATGAACAAATGGAAGACTTCAAAATTTGTATGAGACACATAAATGCAAAGCCCTCGTGGAAAAGATGATGGGAAGAGTCAAAAGTTTGATAGCAGTTTTATTTCATTTTGTATTTTTCAGTGCTATTAGCCTGTCTGATGAATCACATTAAATGATGTACAAGCAATAGAGAAGGCTTTGCAGGGAACAGATTGGCTTTACCAATCTGGATTTTATCCTACTGACATGTACAGTGCTATAATCCATAATTATGAGAACTAGGGTAAAATTTGAATTCTTCAAGTAAAAGGGATTATACTTATTAGTATAAAAAATTAAATATTTGTCTTATTTTTTTAACTAAATATACAGTGCTCAAATCTGGAGAATTGTCATCCCTCTCCTTGGAACAAGTATTGTCTTTGAGTGACTAGAACAATGTATATGAGGTCAGGGGGATTATTAACAGAAACAGCCGTTTGTTCGTGCTCGGCTGTGATTTAAAGGTACCATGGCTGCTTGCAGATGCCGTTCAGTCAGACCATGGATGGTCCATAATAGCAGATTCTTCTGGTCCCTAAAGTGGACCTTATTTGATTTTATTTGGGTGCTTTTCAGAGCAAACACTGGAAATCACTTTCAGCTTCATACATTTGTCCCTTTCAAGGTCAGACCTTAATTTTAACCTCTTCAGTTGTACACCCAGTGCAAGAAGATCCCCTGTACCCTAGGTGAGTGCAGTCTAAACTAGAGGCTTTTATCCTGTGGTGCCTCGGTTCCTTCTTGCTCAGGACGCATACGAGTAGCTGCTCTGTTGCACTCATGGGCATTTTCTTTTGTTAGAAGTTTCACAGCGGGGAGAGGAGTAAAATGAAATGTCGTGTGCTAAACTCCCAGGGCAGTCATTCACTAGTGATCAGAATATGACCTCTCTTACTTCATGCATACTCCCACCTACCCTCACCCCGCTCCTGTGGATTATTTTAAAGAAAATCCCGGTCATTGGTTTACTTTATCCGTAAATACTTGCACATCTGTTTCTAAAGGATACATGTAAACACACCACTAGAACATGATCACAATAAAAAAAATTAACAGCAGTTCTTTAATATCATCAACTATCCAGCTAATGTTTGGATTTTACATGGTGGTTCTGAAAGACAAGAGAGCATATTCAAGATTACTTGAGAAACTATACAGAACCTGTAAAGCACTCTTAACCCTAAGTGACCGTGTTTGGTATGATGAAAAACAGTAGCTTGTGGCCTGTTTCATACATTATTTGTTGTCACATTGGTTTTTACAGACATTATCCGAGGGGCAGGCTGTGTGGCATGGGGGCGGGGAAATTGTAGTCTTTTGGATTCTGATCCTCATTTCCCGAATTGCTAGCCATGTGACTTTGGGCGTGTTACTTTACATTTTCAGTTTTCAATTTACTTTTTGGCAAAATGGAGCTAATGAAAACTCCTTGCAGGATTATTAGAAGCATTAAATCAGGTGACACATGTGTCCTACGTGGGTTTGTGCAGCTGATGCTTGTAGATCTGAGCTGTCACGTGGTTGTAGCCCAGTCACAATAATAAACTTACACTTCATGAGCTTTACTTTGGGCCTGACGTTGTGCTACAGGCCTTTTGTCTTCCCTCAATGTTCGTGACACGCGCTGTGCGCAAGAATCTCTGTCCTCCTCCTCATTTTGCAGCCACTCAAGGCCCACACACTACTACGTGGTACAGCAAGGATCTGTCCCCAGGCCTGGTGTCCCTGGAGCCCACGCTCTTACTAACCACTGCCTGTTCTTCGGTGTGCGGTTTGAGAATCTTCCAAACATGCTTCACTGCGTACATGTGGACACACTGAGTTCCTGTTTGATACTCAGGTGTTGCATGCCATATCTTTGCAGGAAACACTGCGGAAGTACGGTGACCTCTACGATCTGTCCCGATCAGAGAAAGGGAAACTTCATGACCAAGCTGTGGCCATGTGTCTAGACGGTCTGCCTCTAAGAATGATTCGGCAGCTGCTGCAGGTGGCTGTGGGCCCTCTTGACATCTCGCCCAAGGATGTGGTGCAGGATGCAGTAAGGAAGATCATTTCTGCATTGAGGTAGGCTAGAGAAGAGTCGTTGGGAACCTGAGGTGATAGTTTGCCAGTAGTTGTGCTCATTTCACAGGAATGAAGAAAAAATACCACGTATGTAGAAGCATTTTATGAACGTTGAAGAACTTTATAAAAGTGAGACACGATCATGAGATTTCTCAGAGTCTTGTGTCTTCAGAGATCTTGAGAATGGAGAAACCATGAACATGCTTCCCCACTGGTGTTGTGTGTAACATGTCCTCAAACTAACTTTCAGCTAGACCCTCTTCTCCCCCGGCCCCCAAATAATTCTTGAAATAGGGTAAGGCCAAAATGGCCTGTGTGGGAGGTAGCCGAGTGTCAGGTTGTCTTGGGACCCAGGTGGATGTGCAGCTCTTGGCTTTTCTACTTCCCCTTCTTTGTAGAGGCTGCAGAATGGGTCCAGAAGCTCCTGTTGAAGTACACAAGGCAAGGTTAATCATATACTGAAGGTTTAGACATCTGTTAAGTGTCTTAGAGTTTTATCTACCTGCAGTTAATGGAATGAAACCAACAACTGAGAAGTTCGAGCTCTCTGTCAACGTGCCCGTGTCTTCGTGGGAATGCATCCAGGAGGGTTAGTTAGGCAAGAGGGGGAAAGTTAAGCTCAGAAAAGAATGAGGCATGAAGTGCTTTCTGTGAATAATGCAATTAGGCTGAAAGATTTGGTCGTGTTTAATGTATTCTCTTTTTAAGCCTTCTTTGTAATTCTGCATTGCTCTTGAGGAACTTTTTGATTCAATGCATGTCAGTTTTCCACAGCTGAACTGAAATCAAATGAGCCTTTATCAGTTTAATTACCCCAGCCTCATATAGTTTTCACCTTAATGATCTGCGGTATCTGGTAATTTGAGAGAGAGAGAGAGAGAGAGAAATAAAATATAACATTTTTTAAAGAAATAACAAATGTCAAATTAATAAAGCTTTGTTCTGTTATTAGCTTATTATGTTTTGGTGGTGGCTGTAAGAGCCACCTGCTCTCCTCCCTCAGATGATGACAGACACTTGTTGGTCGTATTTTGCACCTTTTGATCCATAGCTCTCTTCTTATTTTTTCTGAAATTGAGATTTAGATGAGCCTCACAAAAACATTTTGAAAGCTTCGTGCTTTGACAAATTTAGTTTATTTCCTAAAAATTACACATTGTCATGAATAATTAAAATAAAATATGATGTGATATTTTTACAGTTATAGAATACCGACATAAATTATACTTCTCTCTCTTTCCCTGCGCCCAGTTCCACTTGTAAAGACGGTTCTGCTCTAATAAATGTTATGCTTAGCACACAGAAGACATTCAATAAATGTGAACTAAATCATCCTGCAGTGGGAGGAGAGGGAACTTCAGGAGTTCAGCTACCTCCTTTTCAAAGGAAAAGAAATTGCTATTGACAGCATCCATAACATTTACCTTTTAGAAAGTTAGTACAATTCAGTAGATATAAAATAACAAAGGCACATAAAGAACTGAATCCAGCAGTTGATTTAAATCCTATCACTTAAATTATTCAGAAAACTCACCTAAAACTTTTCTTCTATTGCTTTTTCAAAATTCAGTGGAGTCCTAGACATACACAGTTATAAAATGGGCATAATAATAGTACCTAGCTCGTAGACTGCTGGGAACTAAATGGTAGAATGTATGTAAAGCACTTGTACCTGGTAAGTACCACATAAATATTCCTTTGGTTTTTTTTTTTTTTAAGTCCATCTGGAGAACTTAGATGATGATATATTTAATGCTTAAAATAGCTCATATATTTAATGTCCATTGAATGTTTTTTAAATGACAGAATGCAAGTAGATTTTATTTTCTTGATAGGAAAAGAAGCATATATGAGACTATGAGCTCCTTAAGGGCAGAAAATGTTTCATTTCCCTATCTTTAGCACTCGCAGACTGCATAGACCCCGCATGGCTATGAGCTGGCTGCGTCCTCTGCCAGAATCCAGCCGGGTGCATCTGAGTGTGAATGCCACACTGCTTTCTGAGGTCGAGCCCTCTTCTGAATCGGTTCTGTCTCTCTCCCTTCACAGTGGGGGCAGTGCTGACCTCGGTGGGTCCAGGGACCCCCTCCAGGTCCTGGAAGGTGTTGTTGCAGCTGTCCATGCCAGCGTGGACAAGGGGTAAGCCTCGCACCGTGCGTGCATCTCACCTCATGGCACTCCTCAGAATCGCAGGATTACTTTTAATATCACTGTTTATGTAACTGCCCAGACCAACCAACTTTTCTAGGTGGTTTTGAAGGAAGAGCTGAGGACTTCCCGCGTAACTAAGGAGGCTCTGCGTCTGCAGTCATGGTTTCTCCAGCTACCCTCTTACCCCATCAGCTCTAGCAGGACACCCCCCTGCTCCCCAGAGCCTTGTTTGCCTGGGAGATCATGGTCTCCTCTCTTCTCGTTCCACATGAGGCCAGGAGGGGGAAGGGATTCACGTCTCCAGGAGGTTAGCTGGACTGATTAAGTAAGGGAACTTTCTAGAGTATATGTATTGTTGGTTTTTTTTTTTTTTTTTGAAAGCTTTATATATGTTAGGTCTGCCTTGCCTGAGGGCTATGAGTATACAGGCTTTATACAGAGTATATAAGTATACAGAACGGTGTGTGTCTCTAATGCCATTTTTTTAAAAATTTAAATTCAATGAACATATAATGTATTATTTGTTTCAGAGGTACAGATCTGTGATTCAACAGTCTTGCACAATTCACAGCGCTCACCATAGCACATACCCTCCCCAATGTCCATCACCCAGCCACCTCATCCCTCCTACCCCCCACCACTCCAGCAACCCTCAGTTTGTTTCCTGAGATTAAGAGTCTCTTATGGTTTGTCTCCTTCTCTGGTTTTGTCTTGTTTCATTTTTCCCTCTCTTCCCCTATGATCCTCTGCCTTGTTTCTCAAATTCTGCACATCAGTGAGATCATATGATAATTGTCTTTCTCTGATGACTTATTTCGCTTATCATAATATCCTTGGTTCCTTCCACGTCGTTGCAAATGGCAAGATTTCATTCCTTTTGATGGCTGCATAATATTCCATTGTATATATATATACCACATCTTCTTCATCCATTCACACTGTCAGTATACATCTGGGTTCTTTCCATAGTTTGGCTATTGTGGTCTAATGCCATTTTTAGAAAGAGTTTTTCATTCAGGTGTAGTGGTAGTGATAGGAAGAACAGCAACAACTGTTGGTTGTTGTATGCAGTGGGAGGAAAGGGAATAACTGTGGTTATGTGTTTGCCAGAGTTTATAGACTTCTTTCATATATCTTATAGCCATGTCATCCCTATAAGGCCTCGCCCCAATTTTCTTATTTTTTTAAATAATCTCTACACCCAGTGTAGGATTTGAACTCATGAGCCTGAGATCAAGAGTCACCTGCTCTACCAATTGAGCCAGCCAGGTGCCCCTGTTTTCTTTTTTTTAATGAGAAATAAATAATAATAATGAAGAAATATTTGTGAAATCTCCTCATAGTTCATTCAGTAATATAATTATTTTCATTTGCATATTACCTTCTAGTTATTGTGCAGGTACACATATATTTTTATATAGCTTCAATCAAAATGTGTAAACATTTCATATTCTTTTATTTACTTGCTACTGTAACTCTTCTCATTTGTCTTTGTATATTTCCTTATGATTATTTCTGATGGTTGCATGTGTTGTTGCCATTTTCGAGAAGGCCTTGCCCTGAGTCACAGGCCGGGGAAATGGAACCAGGATCCCAGCCAGGCTCTGAGTCCTAATTTAGAACTCAGATGCCTGCATAGCACATTTCCATGTTTTGCTTTGTGCCCGAGGCTTGAGTGGAGGAAAATAGGATAAGCCATATAGGTGAATCTGGGAAAGCATTGCAGTCAGGGCCCTCTACTTACTCAGCCTTCCGCCTTGCACCGTTTTTCTAAGCCCCTTTGCTTTGGGGTCTCGAAGTATAATGAAGCTATTTTACGCCTTATTCGAAAGCGAAATGAAATGATCTCCCTGTTCACTGTGTGTCACGCCCTGTGCTGAGTCAGGAGGAGTCAGATATGGGGAAGAAATAGCCTCGCACCTGAGAAGCTCAGAGTCTTGCAGGCGAGACAAGCCTTCCCATAGCTCTAGCTGCCATACTACCGGGGGGTAAGTGCTGTGCAGAAAGCAAGGTGGACTGAGCGGTTTATTCCGTCTGGGGAAGTCAGGGCGGGGTACGAAAGGGACGACGTTGGTCCTGGCCCATGAAAAGGGAGTCTGTGAGGAGGAGGAGGTGGGGAATGGTACCCCAGGCCGAGGAGGCCCCCTGCGCCACTGCAGATGGAGCAGGTAGCGGAGCCAGGCGGGTGCTGCGCGGGGAACCCTCAGCCGCCTTCCAGAGGTGTGTCCAGTGTCTGCCATTCGGGTCAGAGCCCGTCCGCCGGCCCCCTGCCTGCCCCTCCCCGGTGAGCTGCTGTCAGAGCACGCTGCTTTCAGCTCATGCCGACCCACACCCGGCCTCACAGGATGACACGATCTGAGCAGGCAGTAAGTCCCTTCCAGAGGAGACATCTCAAAAAGATTAGAAGGCAGTGTTCTTCTGAGTGAATTTCCAGCCAGAAACACAGGTGAATCCAACTTGGGTTTCTCGCATACAGACTTATTTTTTTTTTTTTAAGCTTTGATTTCCAAAGAAGAAGACATTGGGGAATGGAGAAACAGAGCAAGATCTTACTTTTTATTCCAGAGACACAGCATAACAAAGTCTTCTTAACAGAAAAACTTAAGTGAACTTTTTTTTTTTTTTTTTTTTGGCTTAAAAAAAAGGAAGAAAGACAAAGTCATAGCTTTCATTTCTGGCAACTACTTTTTGAATCCACACAGTTAAAGCCTAAAATGGTTTGTCTCCTTCTCTGGTTTTGTCTTGTTTCATTTTTCCCTCTCTTCCCCTATGATCCTCTGCCTTGTTTCTCAAATTCTGCACATCAGTGAGATCATATGATAATTGTCTTTCTCTGATGACTTATTTCGCTTATCATAATATCCTTGGTTCCTTCCACGTCGTTGCAAATGGCAAGATTTCATTCCTTTTGATGGCTGCATAATATTCCATTGTATATATATATACCACATCTTCTTCATCCATTCACACTGTCAGTATACATCTGGGTTCTTTCCATAGTTTGGCTATTGTGGTCTAATGCCATTTTTAGAAAGAGTTTTTCATTCAGGTGTAGTGGTAGTGATAGGAAGAACAGCAACAACTGTTGGTTGTTGTATGCAGTGGGAGGAAAGGGAATAACTGTGGTTATGTGTTTGCCAGAGTTTATAGACTTCTTTCATATATCTTATAGCCATGTCATCCCTATAAGGCCTCGCCCCAATTTTCTTATTTTTTTAAATAATCTCTACACCCAGTGTAGGATTTGAACTCATGAGCCTGAGATCAAGAGTCACCTGCTCTACCAATTGAGCCAGCCAGGTGCCCCTGTTTTCTTTTTTTTAATGAGAAATAAATAATAATAATGAAGAAATATTTGTGAATTCTCCTCATAGTTCATTCAGTAATATAATTATTTTCATTTGCATATTACCTTCTAGTTATTGTGCAGGTACACATATATTTTTATATAGCTTCAATCAAAATGTGTAAACATTTCATATTCTTTTATTTACTTGCTACTGTAACTCTTCTCATTTGTCTTTGTATATTTCCTTATGATTATTTCTGATGGTTGCATGTGTTGTTGCCATTTTCGAGAAGGCCTTGCCCTGAGTCACAGGCCGGGGAAATGGAACCAGGATCCCAGCCAGGCTCTGAGTCCTAATTTAGAACTCAGATGCCTGCATAGCACATTTCCATGTTTTGCTTTGTGCCCGAGGCTTGAGTGGAGGAAAATAGGATAAGCCATATAGGTGAATCTGGGAAAGCATTGCAGTCAGGGCCCTCTACTTACTCAGCCTTCCGCCTTGCACCGTTTTTCTAAGCCCCTTTGCTTTGGGGTCTCGAAGTATAATGAAGCTATTTTACGCCTTATTCGAAAGCGAAATGAAATGATCTCCCTGTTCACTGTGTGTCACGCCCTGTGCTGAGTCAGGAGGAGTCAGATATGGGGAAGAAATAGCCTCGCACCTGAGAAGCTCAGAGTCTTGCAGGCGAGACAAGCCTTCCCATAGCTCTAGCTGCCATACTACCGGGGGGTAAGTGCTGTGCAGAAAGCAAGGTGGACTGAGCGGTTTATTCCGTCTGGGGAAGTCAGGGCGGGGTACGAAAGGGACGACGTTGGTCCTGGCCCATGAAAAGGGAGTCTGTGAGGAGGAGGAGGTGGGGAATGGTACCCCAGGCCGAGGAGGCCCCCTGCGCCACTGCAGATGGAGCAGGTAGCGGAGCCAGGCGGGTGCTGCGCGGGGAACCCTCAGCCGCCTTCCAGAGGTGTGTCCAGTGTCTGCCATTCGGGTCAGAGCCCGTCCGCCGGCCCCCTGCCTGCCCCTCCCCGGTGAGCTGCTGTCAGAGCACGCTGCTTTCAGCTCATGCCGACCCACACCCGGCCTCACAGGATGACACGATCTGAGCAGGCAGTAAGTCCCTTCCAGAGGAGACATCTCAAAAAGATTAGAAGGCAGTGTTCTTCTGAGTGAATTTCCAGCCAGAAACACAGGTGAATCCAACTTGGGTTTCTCGCATACAGACTTATTTTTTTTTTTTTAAGCTTTGATTTCCAAAGAAGAAGACATTGGGGAATGGAGAAACAGAGCAAGATCTTACTTTTTATTCCAGAGACACAGCATAACAAAGTCTTCTTAACAGAAAAACTTAAGTGAACTTTTTTTTTTTTTTTTTTTTGGCTTAAAAAAAAGGAAGAAAGACAAAGTCATAGCTTTCATTTCTGGCAACTACTTTTTGAATCCACACAGTTAAAGCCTAAATCCTTGGCTTTGATTTCTTTTCCCAAAACTGTGCCTGGCAGATCACATGGGGGAGCCACTCCCAGGGGGGTCTTTGGAGTGACATGGGGATTCAGACCCTTTGAAAGTAACCCTCTCGGTCACTCACTACATGGCCTGATATGGCCGCCTCACCTCCAGGAGGCCACTCCAGGCCTGTGTGTCACCCTGACCCTTAGGTCCATACCCAGCCTCCCTCAGTCCTTGCCCCGAAATGTGTCAACA